TGAGATAGGGTCTCACCATGCAGCCCTGGCTGGCTTGGAACTGGCTGTATAGACCAGGCTGGCTTCTAACACAGAGATCTGCCTCCTTCTGCCTCCCGAGTGCTGGGATTAAAGCAAGTGCCACCTGGCCCACCTTCATAGTTTAACTGTGTGTGGGAAGGAAAACAATGTCTGTTGAGCTGGATTGTCCTTTCTCTTTCCTGGGACTCTGATAACCTGAAAAGGAGTCAGAGTAGACCTGGGCCTCGTCTAGCACCGAAGGCCCCTGTGGACCAAGGCAAGCTAGCAGGGACAGCAGCTATGAGTGAAGCTTTTGTTTTCTAAGGTGGGGCTCACTTCTTGGCCAAAGCTCTGCCTTTTGCCTTGGGTTTGGGACTGCAGGGCTGTGTGGGCACACTCTTAGAAGGACACATGGGCACACTCACAGATACACACACTCAGACATATAGGTATCACATACAAGAAACACAAACTTGCATATTTCCATAAGGCACACATGTACATACCCACATGCACACTCAGCTACTCCCACATACACCAGAGCTTACAGCATGCGCTCTTCTTTTGTTGTGTTTTTGTTTTTGAGACAGGGTCTCTCTGTGTAGCTCTGGAACTTGCTATGTAGACCAGGCTGGCCTCCATCTCACAGAGATCTGCCTACCTCTATCTCCCAAGTGTGGAGATTAAAGGCGTGAGCCACCACATCCTGCCTTTTCTGATTTGCTTGTTTGTTTGGCTTTTTTTTTTTAGAACCCATAGCACTCTAAAGCTCGTTCTCACACACACTGTACACGACCAATTCACGCCACCCTATATTTTTTTGTTTCAAAAAAAAATGTCAATTTCTTATGGTATCAGGGACTTCTTTGAATCATAGAGCCACCCTCCCCCCCCCCCGAGTCCCTGCACTTTAAATATGCACACTGCCATTCTCACACTCACCCACTCACACTCCTGGGACACAGTCAGTCTGAGTGGAAGGCCTTCAGCCCCTCCTGCTTCCGCCTGTTGACCTGCTGGCTTGGAGACAAGGTTATCGACGCCACCGGGCTCCAGGCGCCCACACAGTCAGGTGTGGGTTGGGCACAACCTTGTTTGTTTGTGGTCGTCCTTGGTAACCACAGATTAGGCCACAGACAGAGCCAAGGAAAGGCCATAAAGGTGGCTTGCATGCGAGTTTCTCAGTGGGGCCCTGGGTGGGGTCAAGAGAAGGCCATCGGTTCTGAGACATGGCTCATGGCCCACAACTCTGCTGCGATTTTCTGTAGCTTCCAGGCCTGACCCTCTACTGTCATCTTTTGTCACTGTGACTCCTATGAGAGCTCCACCAGTAGGACAAGGCACTTGGGATCCAGCTCGTGTCCTTTGTTGCTATGAGGATCAGTCTGTGGCAGTTCTCTGAGACTCAAGTTCTCATGCACAGGACAGAAATGTGCTGGCTCTCTGGGTTGTGAGGGTTCAGGGCGAAAACCTGTACACAGCACTTGGCCTTGGGTAGATGTTTATGAGACTGACTTAAACCCTTAAGCCTGCACATGCTGTGGCTTCCCCAGGGTGTGTCCTGATGCCTAGACCTCAGCCTGCTATCCTGTAGTCTCCACTGTCTTTCAGCTTGCTCAGCACTATGGTGCTTGTGCCCTGCGTGGGAGGTGCACACCCATGGAGCCATATAGCTGTGGGCCAGCTCAGCTCAGTGATTCCTAGGCGTGAACACCTGCAGGACCATACCTGTGGATGGGTTGGCACTGGGCCCTTGTCCCAGTCTTCAGTGCTTGTGTCTGCTGCTCACTTTTCAGGCTAATTTGTTGTCTGGGTTGGGCATCCTGAGAATTTAATGGTCTTTCGTGTGAGGAAGGTCAGACCAATCTGGAGATGACCTAAACCCACAGTGTTTCCTTTAGTTGCCTGAAAAGGTGAGAGGGCCAGAGTATTTGACCAGCCCTAGAATTGAAGATGAGGAAGCAAGAAGGTGATGCTGTGCTGTCCTGATCTGGATCCTGGACAGCAATCCTAGCTCTGTCACCTGGACTACTGCCCTTCCTTGCTGGTCATTGGGCTCTCCATCCTCAGGAAGCGCCACTCCCCAGTGCAATGGGGAAGATGAGCAGATGGGTGTGTGGGTCACAGGGGCAAGGGGCCGGACCTGGCCATGAGCTTCAGTGGGCTACAGTGACTAGAATACAGCTTTGTGCAGAGAAGCTGTGCCCTTCTGTCTTTCTGGACAGTTGAAGGATGGCAGGTGGCACCAAAGAGCCCAGCAAAGGTAGACAAGAAGCCTGGTCACAAGGCTGCTCAGTCTGCCCATGTTTCTTAGGCTGAGCAGACTGGCATTCACCAAGAACACACAAGCATCCTAGAGCAGGCAGCCTCCACCCATGGTTCTGACTGTGGGTGGCTGTCCTCATTCAGGTAGTAGCCCTGACCTGGCATGTGCTCTCAGCCACACTGAAGAAACACATCTTAATGTGTTCATTTGATTGGAGATGGCCTGTGGCAGCCTTGCTTACAGGGGCTTGCTTATGTCCCCTAGGCCACACTAGTGGGAAGTGCTACTGTACGCTACCTGGTTATAGGGGGATATGGGTTACAGAATATACTGACTTCTGCATCAAATTCCTTACTGGTTGTTGTTTTTAAACTCAAGTTTCTGATATTACATATAAATTTTTGTTCTTAGAATACATTCTTCTGGTCAACGACTTGAAAATATGAACAGCTTTTATGTTTTAGGGCAGTTTTAGAATTTATAGAAAAATTAAGCACAGTCTGTGTATGTAAACATCTTGGACAGTGTGTAATACTCATGAGCCAACATGGATACATTGTTCACTAAAGCCTATAAACCTGTAGTTTACATGGAGTTCATTGGGGTGTTGTTTGTTCTGTGGGGTTGGACAGTTGTTCATGGCATACCCTTACTGTGATCATATCATACAAATAGTTTCACTGCCCTAATAATTGTTTGTTTATTCCTGTTTACCTCCCTCTTCCCTCAGTTCTTGGCAATCGCTTACATTTGTACTGTTTTCATAGTTTTAAAAATTTATTTATTACTTTTATTTTATGTGTGCAAGTATTGCCTTACATGTATGTAAGTGCACCCGTGTCCTGCAGTGCCCATAGAGGTCAGAAGAGGGCATAGGATCCCCTAGAACTAGAGTTAGGGATGGTTGTTAGCTGCCATGCAGGATTTGGGAATCAAATCTAGGTCCTCTGCAAGAGCGGCCAGTGCTCTTAACTGCTGAGCCATCACTCCAGCCCCGTTTTCATAATTTTGCATTTTCCAGAATGGCATAGTTGGAATCAAGGAGCAGGTAACCTCTTGAGAGTGGCCACTTCAGCTTAATAATATGCATTTGATGTTCCTCTGTGTCCTTCTGTCCTGGTAGCCCATTTCTGTTTACTAATGAATAATAACATTCTCTGGCATGGAATACAGGTGACTTCTTAAAGGCACAGATTCTGATTCCTCATAGCATGTCTCATGACACAAGGCACCAGGATGCCTGTGTGCCTTGAGTGGAGGCTTGCTGGAGTGGAGTGAACCATAGTTCCCTAGTAGCCATGGGTTCCTCTTGTCCAGTGCCATCACCGTCCTGTAAGGTTCTATCGGCAGCTCCCTGTGTTTCCAAGGCCTTGTGTTAGTTTTCACTCTCCATTTAGTTATGGGCTTCTTCCCCCATCCATCCATCAAATGTGTAGATGGGGACCTGAGAACACACATTCAAAATATGTGTTCCTGTTTGCCAGCTGCGGTGTGTGTGCAGAAGAGATGAGGATGCAGTTGGGAGGGGGGATGGGTGCCCCTGTCAAGAGTGTGAGTCAGAATTCTAGTGGAGTAATGACGTGTCCCAGACAAATGAGTTGCCATGTGTCCCGTATTCCTTGAGGAACTTACTGAGTAAGATAAAGAGCCATAAATAGTGGTTATATGAGGAACCAAGGTCATAGGCTGCCTACTACCCCAAATTACAAAACACAGTGGCTAGTCAGATCCCTTGACTGTCTCCTTCTAGTCCACAATTTTAGAAAACTCTTTGAGAATGAAGGTGAGCCAGGGGTCTGAAGAGGAAGAGGAAGGAGAAAGTTGAAAGGGAGTCATGCAGGTACCAAGATTCTGGTCAGCTTCCCAGAAAAGCAAGATGCGATGCCTCGGCCCATTCAGGAGAACCTTATAACTCAGGGAGTCGGCGCTCTGCTCTGCGTCAGCACTTTTCTGAGCTCTTCAAACACTGTCTTTTAATTTTCAGTTACCTTACAAGGAAGGTACTGTTATTGCCTGTAGTTTTCAAATGAGGAAAATGAGTCCCAGTAAATGTTGGAGCAGAGATCCTGTCTCTGATGAGCACTGAAGAAAAGCCCTTTATCTCTGGAGGGTCAGTCATTCTTAATGCCATCAACTGCCTCTCCTGCTTGGGGTTTAGCTGAGGTTTGCCTGTCTCTCTTTGAGTGTCTCTTCATGAGCTGACTGTGGAGAGCCAAAGGAAACTCCTTTCCACTGTCTAATGTGCTGAATGAAATAACCACATTCAGACCCTGTTTTCAGTTTCACGTGCATAAGTAGTCCCAGAGAAGGCAGCCCATTGTGCAGAGGAGACACGTCCCTGCGTGTGAATGCGAAGAGTGTGGGCACTTGAAGACCACCCTGTACAGCTCTACACCTTCTCTGGACCTGCTCCCTGTGCTCCCTAGTGAGAAAGGACTTGGCTGGCACAGAAATGTCTGACATATCCTGGGAATTCATTCATTGTTTGAAATTTAGGGTGAACTTCTGCCTGTATGATGTGCAGTTTTTTGGGTGGTGGGGATTGTGTTCACCGTATTTTTTTCTGAAATTCTCAAAAAGTGCCTGAACTTCTCAAATGTTAACAGAATGTGGATTCTGTTGACTTTGGGTATTGTGGCCGGGACTACGGTAGACAGAGTATTGGCCTTTGGGAGCCCCATTTGGCTTCTGTGCTGGTTTCTGAGAACTTGCTTATGCTTCTTTCCCTTTTAAGGTGGTGATTCCCTGCTGTGCGCAAGTCCACCCGGAGCAGGTAAGACCTTTGCATTTTTTTGAGACTTGGTATGGTCAAGTAGAATGCTCTCTTCAAGCAGTGCCCTCTTTGGGGGCCGTTTTTCATCCTAAGGGCAGGTGTGCACCATTATATATTAAGATAGAGAATCCTTGTCCTCTTCCACAGAAACTACCTTTAAGATCAATAAAATTTGCCTTCTGAGTTTCCTGAACTGTCTTTAGTGACAATGCCTTGTTGCAGGATGGCCTTGCATATGGTGCAGTGATATGTGAACACTCACCTCTGACAAATGCTACATTTTATCAGATAGAAAGTAAACATAACAATACAACCTTCTCTTTGACTTGCTATTAGGTGAATGTAAATTTCAATCCGCTTTATGAAGGATATGCCTTTGAATCCCCCCAAACCCCTATTTTCTTGGTTCCCATCCATTGGAGGTGAAGAGATTAAGCCTTGTTTCTAGTGACTTCTAACTTGGAGAACGCCTGTGGATATCAGTGTACAGTCCTGGAAAGAGCAGGCAGGAAACCTTACTACCCAGTCAGGAGTGGCCCTGGGGAGATCAGTATAAGCTGCCTGTGGCTGCTGGGGGGAAATAAGTGCTGTCCCAGCCTCATTGTGGGAAAGCTGTGTTCTGCCCCCTCTTCCACCATGCCCTTTGTGTGTGTTGCTTGTTGTTTCTGAACTGGATGGGGTCATGCTCCAGCCCTGGGTTTCTCACACATACAATCTCTTGATGGCTTGCGGGGTCTTTGCCTGTCTTGTTAAGTCTTCGTGTTTTTGTGGACAGAACCTTGAGGTCTCTAGACATGAGACGGGTTCTGCGTTGTCGGGTGGTAGAATGTTCTTTGAGGACTCAGTAGAGAGGTGGCACACCAGCCTTGCCTTCCTGAAGAAGCCAAGTTCAGATCCCCTGGCCTCACTGCTGAGCTTCGGTTTCCTTCTGCCCTCCATGAGAATGATGGTGCTCCCTAACCCAGCTGACAGCCAGATGATAGAAAAGGGATGTGTGGGTTGGCATGACACACATGCCTTATTTGCTGGATGACTGTTGTGGTTGCCCTTCTCTGAATGTTCTGAGATCCTCAAGTCTCTTCCTTCTCTATGCCTCTGAGGTCATGGGAGTATCTACAAACTGTAAAAACCATGTTAGAACATCAAGAGCAGAGGCCTTCAGGGAGGGTGTGGGCTCATACCCAGGCTGCTCCTGCTGGCTTCAGTGCTACTGGGGGCACAGCCATTCCCCCACCTTCACTCCTGTGAAACTCATAATCAGGGTCTTGTATGTGTATATGTTATTCATGTAATTGTGATGTATATATGTGCAAAGATGTATTATATCTGTAATTGTCATGTGTATGAAAGTGTGTATTGTACATGCATTTATTCTATTTGTATGAATGCCTATTGTGTTTGTAAATGCTGTATGTGTATGCTATTTGTAACTTGCATATTTGTACGTGTATTATATATGGCTATTATGATTGATATGCATATAAGTTTGTGGGTTTGTGTAATTGTATGTATCTTAATTAATCTGTTATGTGTGATTTTTGTATTTGAGTGTGTGTGTGTGTGTGTGTGTGTGTGTGTGTGTGTGTGTATATACATATATAAGCATGCATTACCTAATGATGGAGAAATGTTCTGAAAGGTACATTGCCAGGCAGTTTTTCAGTGCTGATACGGAATGTATTTACACTTTTAGACCATAACAGCATAGCTGATTATTAATATTTTTTAAAGTTTCAAACTTTTTTTATTAACAACCAAGATCCAAACATACAGCTTAGCCGAGGCTACCCAGGGTGAGGATGTCATTGTCATTACTTTCTCCCTCCACTTGTTACCTTCTTGCAGCAAAGTTTTCAGAGGCAACTCAGGTGGAGCTGCCACGTTCTGTGGTAGCTGGGTCCTCCTGAGAACCTGCCTGAGGCTGTTTCATAGTGAACATTAACAAATAAGTAGGGGCTGGAGAGAGGGCTCAGAGCACTGACTCCTCTTGCAGAGGACCCAGGTTCAGTTCCCAGTATCCCCAGGACAGCTAACAACTGTCCATAACTCCAGTTCCAGGGAACCTGACACCCTCTTCTGGCCTTCATGGATATTGCATACAAGGGTACACTTACATATATGTGCATAAGATAAAAGTAGTTAAATCTTTAAAAAAAATTTAAAAAGCAAGTAAGAATAGCTTCTAATGATAAAAAGTGCAGCATAGTAAATGCATACATATACCAGCTAGCCAGCTAGCAGCCAGTGCTGGACAATGTGAACAATATATAGTCTATACAGTCAAACATGCTATACCTTTATATGAGTGGCTGGTAGGTCAGTGGACACTAACCTTATCACAAGCACTGAGTCTCATTGAATCACTGGTTAGGGCCCCTGTGACATCACCATGTGGTAGGAAGTTTTGAGTTCCATCATCATGAGACCACTGTCATATATGGTTTGCTTGTTTGTTTGTTTGTTTTTGAGACAGAATCTCATTATGTAGCCCTGGCTGGCCTGGAACTAGCTGTGAAGACCAGGCTGGTGTCTATCTCACAGAGATCTGCCTGCCCCTGCCCTCCAAGTGCTGGGATTAAAAACATGTGCCACTATGCCTCACTGTGTGGTATGTTTTTAACTGAAGTGTTATGCACCGTGTGTGTTAAGTGTGAGTGTGTGGGCATGTGTGCGTGTACACAAGTCTACTTTGTATTAAGCACTCAGACCTTTTCCAGATTGCTTTGACCAGCAGTTCTCTACATCACACAGATCCCACTGATTTGCTCCTGCAAATTCTTGGAGGGGTAGAGGCAGCTCAACCGAGACCACAGCCTTGAGCTGAAGCACTGTGCTGGTCAGGTCCTTGGCTGTGCCCCTGCCCCTCTCAGCACCCTCCTTACCTGGTGCTGTGGGATCGGAGACGGGGCTCCTTCAGGTTTTCTCCTGTGCATGGCTTTCTTCTTGAAGGAGGGAAGGTCTATCTCCAACTCCCCCCCCCCCCCCCCCCCCCTCCCGCAGCCTGCCTTGGTCTTTGGACTGGAGTCTGGCGGGTGGCCCTACTGCCCCAGCTAGGCTCTTATAGACATCTTAGAGCTTACAAATTCAAATTCAGGAGTGATTTCCTGGACTCCCAGTGACTACCCTGGGGCCAGACAGCCTTTAACACTGTAAACAGTGACAGTAATAATGAAAGTATTTACTTTAGACTATGAGTTCAAGACTGGGCCTTCATTCATTTTCAATTTTGCAGTAATACTGACAGGCTGAGCTTTATTTTGAAAACAGTTTCTTTGCACCGTGGTCTGGTTTCTGGAGGATGTGGGTGTTATGACACATACATTTAACTGTGTTTTCCAAACTCACTAGCTGACTATACCCCCCCCCCCCCCCGGCTTTGTGGATGCATGGAGGAGTGGAGGTGGTTGCGCCAGCACCACTTCTGTCACTGTCGCCCCTCACTGGTGTGTGTGGTGGAGATGCGGTCTCCTTTGTGTGGAGCTTGACAGGAAGGAGGTTTGCATTTGCAGTGTCGCTTCTCAGTACAGAAAGCGTCTGGGGCTCCTTGTGCTTCTGGCCCTGCATGAGCCGAGAACCTTCTAACATTGACCTTGGAGGGAGGTGGTTGCGCCAGCACCACTTCTGTCACTGTCGCCCCTCACTGGTGTGTGTGGTGGAGATGCGGTCTCCTTTGTGTGGAGCTTGACAGGAAGGAGGTTTGCATTTGCAGTGTCGCTTCTCAGTACAGAAAGCGTCTGGGGCTCCTTGTGCTTCTGGCCCTGCATGAGCCGAGAACCTTCTAACATTGACCTTGGAGGTTGAACTGGCTCAAATATGCTTTCAGATGTCACCCTGAGAGTCATCAAACCTGTGTGACTGGCCAGGTCACCCGAGGGCAGTTTTGATTTTCCTGGTTGCCATTCACTGAGCACCTGCTTTGTGTCAGATGCTTTGCCTGTGAGGTCACTCCTGTGGCCCAGGAAAGTGGAGAAACTCCCCAAGGTCACCCATACTCTGAGAGACCACTGCTGCCAGACCACAGCTTCTGTGCTTGTCTGAACTTGTCGTGAGCTGAGTTTCTAGAGGCAACACATTTCTCGTGGATGCTTGTTCTAGTTTCTCTATTGCTGTGATCAGCACTATGACCACACCCAACTTGAGGAGGAAGGGTTTAGTTCACCTTACATCTTACAGTTCATCACGAGGGGGTGAGGACAGGAGCTCAGGGCAGGAACCTGGAGGCTGGAACTGAAGTGCAGACCATGGAGCAGCACTGTTAACTGCATTGCTCCCTTGTCTTTGCTCAGCCTGCTTTCACATCCAATCCACGACCACCTGCTCAGGGGTGGCACTGCCCACATTGGTCTGGGTCCTCCCATGTCTGTCACTCAATAATCAAGAAAATGTCTCACAGACATGGCCACAGAGCAATCCAATGGCGGCAACAGCCCAATTGAGGGTCCCTCTTTCCCAGGTGTGTCAAGTTGACAGCTGACACTATCCAGCACAGTGTTGTTACTGGAATTGTTAGCGAGAGCCTGGGCCCTGGCATCCCTCTCAGGCTGTGTTCGGCCACCTGTCCTTGGCACCCCAATTACAGAGACAAGAAGGTAAAGCAGAGGAAGAAAATGCATTCAGTGTGCTCACATTGGTAAGAGGAACAAAGAAGTCCGGCACCCCTTTCCCCTAGTCCATCTTTATGGGTACAGACATGAGGCTTAGGGTTAAACAGAAGGCAAGAGGTTTCCATACCTGAGCAGTCCTGGTGAAGGCGTCGAGGTGTGCCCATCATTGGCCAATCTCTACTGCAAGTGGTCTGACTAGTTTCCCGAACTATGTGAAATTTCTTCCTGGGAGACATCTTTCTCCTCTGGCTGGCACCAGCCTTTACCTTCTCCCAGCATGAGATTCCTGGCGGGAATTCCAACTCTTTGGGGTCCATTGTTTCAACAGTCTGATAGGCAAAGGGAGGGGCACAAGTGTTTTTAGAATATCTTCCCTCCTGCCAGGATGGTCCCTGT